ATGACAACAGAGCAGCACAAGATTAGTGCTGTCTTTGCTATTTTGGCCGGTTAATAATGTCGCAAATGCCAGTAAATTGACTAGCGCAAACCATAATAAATCATAAATGCTCTTCTCCCATAAATTTTGCATCTGAAAGGGAAACTCCTACAAATGCATATGCAATAAGATCAGCTGCAAATATGACTGTGTCCAGGTCTCTTCAGTGCAAATTTTTTTTTTACTGCGCGTCTTTAGTAAATCTCAACAGTACGCCAAAAGAGGGTTTGTGCTGGAGCAAGCTGTTAATAAATCTGGCCCTAAGCCTCTATCAAGGTCTAAGGGTTACTAGAAAGCTACAAGGCAGGTGAGTTTTTAATCAAGGTTGGAGCAAAACTCTGCAGGACTGTGGCTCTCCAGGAGCGACGTTGGCCATCCCTGATCTAAACAACTGAGGTTGATATCTTTAAAAATGAGCTTTCAGTAAGGTTTTATTTGAGTGCAGTACAAAACGTTTCCACTAGATGAAATTCGCTTCCTGTTCATTTCCAAAGTTTTCACTGCGAACAGTACAAGTGTGAATATTTTTTTCAGGACCGTTTAACTTTTTTTTGTGTTCACATTAGACTGTAATGAGTGTGACCCTACTGAAGCCCACTATGTGTGAGTGCTGTAGTTTGTGCATCACCATCACTGTAATGTGTGCGTTTATGACGTTACGGTGAAATCTCAGAAATCTATAGCGTTAACTTCTTTTCCTCAAAGCTGAACGAACAGATACAGCAGAACAAACTGAGCTGTTAGCAGCGCGACTGAAGCCAGATGGAATCAGGTGAATTAGCTGTGATACACACTTAAAGCTGCTGAAGCTCACTCACCTGCGGATACGAAGAAGATTCCCGCGCTGAGGATGATGTTGTGTCGAGACTTGTAGAACTCGCTGGCGGCGACACAGAGGCCACCCACGAACAGCAGGATGACACTGAGGATGGGGAAAATACTGGAGGCCCGAACCGCACCTGAAACACACACACACACACACACACGCGCGCGCGCGCAGTCATGAGACGTAATTATTTAAAATAATTAAAAAATATATAAATACTATAGCAACAGAAATAAATTATGAACAAAAAAAAAAAAAAACTATCATAACGGATGCTTTGATCCACTCATTGGGAAAAAAAGAGATAAACAGTCTCACACACACACACACACACACGCGCGCGCGCGCAGTCATGAGACGTAATTATTTAAAATAATTAAAAAATATATAAATACTATAGCAACAGAAATAAATTATGAACAAAAAAAAAAAAAAACTATCATAACGGATGCTTTGATCCACTCATTGGGAAAAAAAGAGATAAACAGTCTCACACACACACACACACACTCCCTCACACACTCACTCCCTCACTCACTCACACACACACACACTCACTCACTCACACACACACACACACATGACCTTCATCAGTGTATCTGACTGACACACACACTCCTCTCCTCTCCTCTCTTCTACTGTGTGAAGTCATTCATTCTCTAAACTCTCTCCAGATTCTCTGCTCAGCGTTTCTGTGTCTGTTAAACTGCTGATTCCAAAACAAACTTCAGAAACAGACTCGTTCTCTTTCTAATTCATGATAATGTTTGTCCTCCGCTCACTTCATCTGCCTCTCCTCAGCTCAGTTCCTTCATCATCATCACCACCACACTCACGACTGTCCGGATTATGTGTCTTTATTACGTGACTCTGACCTCTAATCAAGAGACGTCTAGTGTGTGTGTTATAATGATTGATTGACTGATGACATCACAGCATGAGGTCACCACTTCCTGTCAGTCACATGACATCACTCAGCTTCAGTTCAGGAACACATCAGGCCTCAGAAGTGATGAATATCTGACAAAACCTAATCACAATCATCTTCTCTTTATTCTGAAACGGTAAAACTGTGTAGTGTGTGCTCGATATAACGCATGTGTGTGTCGTTCATGCAGCTGAATATTACACAGTCTTTGTCTCTTTCATTCTGCATTGATGAGGAGGAGAGGATGAAGAGCGCAGGGCATTTCAGAGGTTTGACCTATATAAACTGCAGTCAAATATTTATAGAAATAAGTGACCTAATTAAAGATTTTAATGAGCAGCAGCAGCTCTGAGCAGCAGACAATCATCCTCTCTCTCTCTCTCGATCTTTATCTCACCATCATCATCACACACACACACACACACGTGTTTGACTTACGCAGGAAATACTCTGATGCATCGGCTTCATAGTCTGCGTCTTCAGGAAAGTGATCGATGTGTTTACACATGCCTTTAAAATTACCTGAGAGAGAGACAGAGACATTAGTAACACAGCAAGAGGTTGTTGAGCAAAGACTTCTGTTTCTGCCAGTGTACGTTTAGAAAAAGCATCATGTCTATCAGCTGAATTCTCGGTCAAAAACCAAACTAGCCATAATCTTCAGATCCACCAATCAGAAGAAAGAACTCAATAGTGACCTCATAAAGTATTCTGGATGACATCATCGAGTCTCTCTACACGCTCTAGCTACTTCAGTAAGATTTTTTTGTAAAAGAAATGAACACTTTTATTCATCAAGGACGCATTAAATTCTTCAAAAGTGTCAGTAAAGACATTTCTAATGTTACAAAAGATTTCTATCTCAAATAAATGCTGTTCTTTTGAACTTTCTCTTCATCTGTGAATCCTGAAAAATTAAATATATCAAAGTTTCCACAAATATATTCAGCAGCACAACTGTTTCTAACATTGATAATAATCAGAAATGTTTCTTGAGCAGCAAATCAGCATATTAGAATGATTTCTGAAGATCATGTGACACTGAAGACTGGAGTAATGATGCTGAAAATACAGCTGCGCATCACAGGAATTCACATAGAAAACAGCTGTTTGAAATTGTAATAATATTTCACTGTTTTTACTGTATTGTTTATCACATAAATGCAGCTGTGGTGAGCAGAAGAGACTTCATTCAGAAACATTAAAACCTTACCAACCCCAAACTTCTGAACAGTACTGTGTGTGTATTTATACACACATATGAATAGTTTGCACGGAATGACAAATGAATGGCTTTTTTCTTATAGTCAGTAGATTAATATTGTAAATGCTTCAGTAGCAGTGCATGTGTGTGTGTGTCAGTGAGTGTGTGTGTGTCTGTGCATGCGTGTGTGTGTGTGTGTGTGTGTGTGTGTGAGTGTGCGTGTGTGTGTGTGTGTGCGCGTGTGTGTGTGTGTGTGTGTGTGTGTGAGTGTGTGTGTGCGCGTGTGTGTGTGTGTGTGTGTGTGTGTGAGTGTGTGTGTGCGCGTGTGTGTGTGTGTGTGTGTGTGTGTGAGTGTGTGTGTGCGCGTGTGTGTGTGTGTGTGTGTGTGTGTGAGTGTGTGTGTGCGCGTGTGTGTGTGTGTGTGTGTGTGTGTGAGTGTGTGTGTGCGCGTGTGTGTGTGTGTGTGTGTGTGTGTGAGTGTGTGTGTGCGCGTGTGTGTGTGTGTGTGTGTGTGTGTGAGTGTGTGTGTGCGCGTGTGTGTGTGTGTGTGTGTGTGTGTGAGTGTGTGTGTGCGCGTGTGTGTGTGTGTGTGTGTGTGTGTGAGTGTGTGTGTGCGCGTGTGTGTGTGTGTGTGTGTGTGTGTGAGTGTGTGTGTGCGCGTGTGTGTGTGTGTGTGTGTGTGTGCGCGTGTTTGTGTGTGTGTGTATCTCAGAGATTGGTGGAATAAGGGTAATCCTGTTACACTCCTAATCACTGACACACACACTCACGTGTGGAGAACAGTATATTATGTAATGCAGTTATGCAACATATATGCGTACAGCAGCAGAAGAGAGAGAGAGTCTGTACAGACAAACACAATCATCCTACAGGGGAAGAGAGATCATGTGACATGGGTCAGAGGTCAGGGGTCAGGGGTCAGCTGCAGGTTTAGCGCTCACAAACCAACATCAGAACCAGAATCATCAGAAAAAACACTCATCATTTAGGGCTGGAGGGGGAATGATAAAGCTTGCCTGCCCCACTTTTTGCGAAATTGTATTTATATATTTAAAAAATATATAAAACATAAACTACATTATTTTATAAAATATATATTTTTAATATTTTATATGATATTTGTAGTTTTATAAGTTTTTCTTGAATTGACTTCAAGACAGAGCAGAAGCCGAACAAATTCACAAGCCTCGTTAGATTAGAATGATGTAATATGAATATCACACATACACACACACACACACACACACGTCACTAATGTCTGTAGGATGAAGGAGCCTGTTTGCCTCATGGGTTTATGTTGAGAAGATGGCGCCGACGCTGATGGCTGCCTCCGTGGCGTGCTCCGCAGTTATTTTTATGTTTTTGTCAGTTTGTCCTGTCTTTAGTTATATCCCTGCAATCAGTTCGCGGCGGCGGGACATGCTTTTACATCAATGAGAGGTGGTGTACAGATGTAACTGTGTTAAAGAAGATGTGCTGTTCAGATCTAGAAGTGCTCTTCATTAACTGTAAAGCCTGTGTTATACTTTCTGCATGCGCTAGTCCGCTAGTGTCCGCTATGGTGCGCGTAACGTAAAAATCATCATCGGAGAGTGTGCGCGGAGGCTCTGAGCGGACATCCGCGTGCCTCCCATTTTTTGTGACCGTAGGCTACTGCGCATGCGCAGGCTGTGTGAAGAAGCCCGTTGCTACTCGAACCTGTACAATCCGTCGATAAAACAATATAAAGACAGCCAGATGTGCAATAACTCTGGGCAATTCTTTGTTCACATGTTTGTTTATTGTTCAAGCCGATCTACTACGCATGTATGGAACACGTCCGCGGAGCGGACAGTTTTGGTAGTATAATTGCAAGTAGTCCGCGTCCGTGTCCGGATTGTACGCGCGGAAAGTATAACACAGGCTTAAGCCTTTCTACTCGCCGCGGGAGTTTTGCTCATTCATTCTCGTCAGTATTTACATTCCTCCGCAAGCGCACGCGAGCTCCGCTTTACATAAACTCT